GACGACGCCTTCACCGCCAGACAGAGGGCTGAGAGGGAGGCTGAGAAGGCGGCGCTCATATCTGGTGCGGCCAAAGCTCAGTAAATGCATGTCTTAACGCATTTAATAGCAATTAATAAATTAATTATCTTTTGACGGCTTAACTCAAATTATTAAAACTAAAACATTTTCATATACCTATACTTTCACTTATATGATTGTCATTTACTTATATGATATACAGTATTAGAAAACATTTTCATATTAAACTACCAATAATTTAATTATTACTTTTTTGTAATTAATAATAATTTTGTAAAATAATTGCCTGTATTGTTAAATTACACTATAATCATTATTTTAATCAATGTACAATAATAATTAGTATTCAGGTATATTATAGACTAAAATCAAGTGATCCAAAATATAAGTGAATGTATTTAGTGTAGTTATAATTTATAGACATTTGGATACTTTATTGTATTATTTGCCAAATTTAATTGTCTTAAAAATTATTTATAAACATAACTGGAATTGTTTTATTAACATTTTGATTAATAAAATTTGATAATAATAATAATAATAAATATTAACTTTAATATTATTAATCTTTTATTGATAACATTGAATAACTTATGAAATACTAATCTTGCTTAAAAATAAAACCTGGATGAAAAATAACTAAAATCTTGACTAATCATTTAGGATTAAACCTGAATTAATTGTTATTATTATCAATAGGGGGTTCAAGTGTGAAGAATAAGCTGAAACAATTTGGGGCTCAATTGAACGCCCATTTCGAAGAGAGGGCCAAATTTATCAGTCCTATCAAACTGCCACTCAAGAAGAAAACCAATGATCCCACGCCTCCCAGTAATATCAGAGCACCACCGCCTCCTCCACTACCTAATAACGTTAAGGCACCGCCACCTCCACCACTACCTAATAATGTTAAGGCGCCGCCACCTCCACCTCAACCCGAGTCCAGGAAATGGAAACAGGAGGCGACCAAACCTATAGCGCCCAAGAAATTAATCATAAATAAAGACATGAATAATAGAGTGAATGACACGAATGGCACCACTTCTAGTCCATCGGTCGATGAAACGCCGATATCTGTGAAGGCATTCAAACAAAACTTCGAAATGAATAATAAAATTGAACCAAAAGTACAAAAGCCCGCAAACCCTAAAACTAACGCTAACGCTATGACTAACAACTCGTGGAAAATGCAGACACAGATACAGACTCCCAGTCCGGCGCCCGAAGAGAGGAAAAAGATTTTAATCAAACAGCGCTCAAAGGAGGCGCCCGACGATCAGCCCAAACGGCGATCGACCAAAGATTTGATCGATGCTATCGAAAAGGTGAACAACACTCCCAACAGTTCCACATCCGGACAGTTGCCATACAATCAAAGGAGACGACAGACCACACAATTAGTTAATAATTTGGTCGACAATAACGCCTCTAATAATACACAACCGACTCGACGAAGAAATTTCGCGGTCGTCAAAGAGAGTGCGGCGGCGCCTCCACCGCCCCCTCCGCCCCAACACCCGGTGTCGCGAACTATAAAACTCATGAAGAATTCGTCTGCGAGTCCATCGCCGGCGGCGTCGTCGCCGATGAGCTCAACCCGTAATTCGCCTCAACCGCCGGTTCATAGTCACAGTCCATCGCCGGTGCCATTCGGGGCACAAGAGGGCGACCCCTCAAAGATGGTGTTCGGAAGGGTTCGTCCGCCGCGGCTATCGATCACCGGACGAACTCTATCGCAGGCGTCGCAGACATTACAGGACGTGAGTAACAAAGTTGCCAATAATGATAGCACTACCACTTCGGCATCTAATTCCCGCTCTGAATCTCCCGTATCAGCTGTTGTCCGCAATAGAAATACCAATACAACCACTCAATCAAATCAATCAAAGAGTACACCACAAGAGCCACCAGCAAAAGCCATACAATCGACACCAACAGCTAATGCCAAACCAATATCAGATAGTTTGGCGAATAAACGGCCAACCAATGCATCATTGAATTCAAATCATAATAACTTTAAGAATAATAATATTAAGCATAAGAAGGCTTGTTCTCCAAGTTCTTCATCAGATGAAGAATCGTCTGATGAAGAATTGGTAGAGAAGACAATTAAACCAACAGTTAAATCAACGCTTACAATGCAATTAAAGCCTAATAATAACGCAGTCGTTAATAATAGCATTACCGGCAGCGATAATGAGCCGCCAAAGAATGACTTACCACTAACAGAGCCATCACATGATAATCGATACAACAGTAAACGAGTTCCTTTAGGCAAGACTTCCGGTCAGCAGTCGTTTGACAAGAATAGGTCCGGTCTGAACCGGTCGTCTAGCGCTCAGATCTTGAAGCTAATCCGATCCAACACTAAGGCTGACGTAGGGCTCGACCGACTCGAAGAGGACGACGAGATCGATGCCCTCATCTGTGAGCTCGAGAAAGAGGGCGTCGATAACATCGATTGGGATGAACTGAATGTGAACGTGGATGAGGTGAAGAACATCATCGAACAGGAGAAGACCGACGACACCACCGATGAGTCCAGTGATGACGACACCAGCGATGACGACGACGAGGCCGTCCATATGATTATCAACAGACAGGCGCCCCAAGAGTCGGAACAGTCGGACGACGAGTTTGAAGTGATAGATGACGAGGAAGACGACGAAGAGTCCAAATGAACGCCTGTTTTATCAGAATTTAGTCTATATTTGCATTTCTTTGGATTCAAAAATTGTTTCAAAATTTATTTTTCATTATATTTTCATGAATTTTGCAGATTTTAATTATTATATCGATATTATATTTATTCAGTTATTATGGAAAAGATTTTATAAAAAGTTATCCAAAACTTGTTTTTATTTTATTGTGTAAAACATTATATTTTTGGTTAATTGTAAAACAAAAAACATATTAATTTAACTCTTATATTATTTGCTCAAGATGCAAACTATGTTATCATAAACTAATTATAAAGTTTTGAAAAATGCATAAAATTTTAAAAATCTTTTATCAATATTATGTTTTGTTTCTAACTTAATATATAAATATAAAGCAATTTTAATTAACTTATTTATGAATATAATTATTATAAATAAATTGTATGTAAAACTGATGCAAAATATGTTACGAATAATTATTGAGTTAACATTATTATCATTTGTGATACTATTTGAAATACACCATAAAATAGAAATTATAAGAGTGATTGTTTTGAGATTTCATTTGATGGCAAAGTTTGTAAACTATTATTATTATTATTAATAAATAGACTTTTATTATTGAATTGAATTCTTGAGAATTGATAGTAAAATATATTGAAAACGTTACAAAATGAACACCGGATGTGAATACAAAAAATCAATTTATAAGAGACTGATCTCAAATAGGGATAGGGATAGGGATGCTGTATATGAGGGAGTTGTTGCACATGATATAGGCAACGAGTGTTTACGCCGAGTAAATCTAATAATAGAAATGATTGCAAACTACGGTTTGTATATAAGCTATGACCCGATTCTTGTATAGCATTTGCTCACAAAATCCAAACATTTCTATTCAATAAAGTACTAGAATATACTACTCAGGGATGAGTTGGGTGTAAAAACAACTGTTTTGCCAATTAATGGAAATTTTTGTGCCCAAAAAGTTGACAGACATTGAACTGATTTCTTAAATGAACAACAACACAGAACTCTGTTCAAGATAAAAAATAGTCACTAACTGCAATAACTAATGACTTCTTGCAAAACAATTCATTCATTGATTGTTTGTAATAAATGACAAACAAAATTTTATATATTTTTCTTGGTACATAATACAGTGTATAGCTAATTATGTAGCCAATTATTTCCCAGTATATTTCTCAGAATTAATTTTTAGATATCTAAAAAATTAATTTCAAAATTTGAATAAATAAATATTTAAATAAATAGTTATTGTATAATATATTTTGTAGTCAACAAATAAAGCCAACAAATAAAGTAATTTTATGACTAAAAATTAAGATTTAGATAAATATTGTATTGCAATAAATCTAAACTCGTTTTATAGAAAATGTAGTTAAGTACTGATTTATGAATTGAAAATAATAAAAACTAAATTGACAACAAAAACTCACACTTAAGAAACTGACAATAAATATCAATGCGTTTGAAAGTTTTAAAATAATTTTTTAATTGACATCAAAACATAAATAGAGATAAAATGAATGATCAGTAGAAAAGGAGTAGAATAATGACAAACATATAATTTATTTCCACGGAATCGTTTCATTAGTTTCTAAAAAATAATTCCCATTCGCTCTGTTGTCACAATAATAACCTAATTCAGCGGCAATTACTACTCTTTTCTGTTTAGTGACCGGTTTATCGGCATCGGGTGATGGATCCAGAATCCATTGAGACTTCAGTTCTCCTGGGTTTTCAATACTCCACATATAGAGCTCAACAGCCCTCATATGATTGCCGGCACTCGTGAAGTCACCGGCATTTGGCTGATCGTAGCCGTAGTTGACATATATATCCAAAGAACCCAATGGTCTGAGTGTCCCGTAGTGGTTGATTAGTGACACTAAATCGGGTGATCGATATTTGTGGTAACTATCAGTATGGATGACATCTGTAAATTGAGAATCCGTTTTACGTAACATATTCTTGTCATTTATTTTTTCAAATGCTGGTCCAGCAGGGTCTAAACCTATTTGGGAATACAATATATAATTGACAAGTTTATTATACTCTTAATGAAGTGAATAATTGTATTTTGTAATGAATATAATAAATAATATTCTTAATATCCTAGATAATTAAATAGTAATACCAGTAATTCTGGCAAAAGAGGCACAGTTTTTGACAGCACTATTCCTTCCGGCAATTCCCATGAGGTGTGCGCCCAATCCGAGACCAATTCCCCAGATCTTGATTTTCATTCCTATCTTTTTCTTGATTTCGAGGACATAGCCGGCCAGCCATACACCGATAGGCTCGACATTGACGGCCGCCTGTGAGTACTTGAAAGCCGCCAATTCAGAGCCCTTACCCCAGCCTACGATTGCTATCGTCTGTTCCGACTCTTCCAACATCTTATCCTTCATCTCATGCATCCATTTTGTTTGACTATTGCCCCAAAAGCCATGAGTAATGAACACAATTCGTGGTAACGATAAAAGTCCGACGTCTTTCAGCTTTGTCACAGCCTTTTGGGGATTCATATCCAGTGCCACAACAAACGGTTGGCCGCCATTCGGGCCGTAAACTAAAATTTCAGGTTTTATTTCCTCTAAAGGCATCGGAAGTGGTAACTGATTCATAATTAATATTTGGTTACAATAGTGATCTCGAAATTATTATATTGAAACAAATTCGAAGAATATTTCATAGAAATCACTCAAATAATTGTCAAAAAATTATTTATTTAAGTCTTTGATGGCACGGAATTTTTTATATGCTTTTAGGCATACATTTACATTATAAATAAAGTCGCTTTACTTTCCGATTACGTAAACACATATTTTTTTGTTTGAAAATTCTTAACACAGAAATAGTGAACAACTTTTGCAGTTCTTCTATGACTGAGAACTCGAAGCGAAAGCGAAATATTTTTCAAAACGCTTTAAATAAAGAACCAAAATATGAGATCCAATGCTTGTGTTAGAGTGGAGTGAAGTCTATATTTAGATTTTTATGTCTTTTTGGATCACTTGGAATGTCTTCTGTTGTATGACTTAGCTTTGGCTCAATATTTATTTTCTTAGATTTCTCGTCAATTTGTTTCATCTTTTTTCATAAAATTACACTCAATAGTGGGTGGCTTTGTAAAGGTGTCACTGCATTGTATTTTATTAAAAGTTAATATGTTTATTCAATACCTTAACAAAATTAGTACGGTAATACATTATAATATTATTGATTGAATAACTGCTAAATGTGAATAAACATTCATTTGATTTTAATTGATATTTATAATTAAACTTTAAAACAAATTCAAAACAAAAGTCATTACATTGTAGAATAAATGCGGATTTTTGTTGTCAATATAAATACGGTACAAATATAGTATAATTAGTAAAACATGTAGTTAAATGAGTGGTTAAAAATGATTTCTATTAAAGTCTAAAAAATTACACAAATTCACAGCCTTTGGTCAGTAATTGATTACAAAATTCATAACAAAAATAGTAATCATTAAATAAATTCATAAAACAAGTGAATATCATTTGGCCGTTTTGTCGACCGGAGTCCACGGCTCAGAGCTGTTGGTCTCTAAATAATAGCAACCAGTCGTATGATTACTAAAAAAGCAATGAAACCCCATTTCAACGCATTTATTGTCTCTTTTCACTTCTTTGACTGGTTTTTCAAACTCTGGCACTCCATCTAAGAGCTCGTATGTCCGGAACTTTCCTGGATTTGCAATACTCCATATAAACAGATCGATGGCACGGGTATGACTGCCCGCAATATGGAGGCCAATAGCACCAGGCTGTTTATAGCCGTAGTTTGGGTAAAAATCGATGGTTCCCAATGGGATGAGTGTTCCGTAATGATTGACTGGAGAGATCCAATCTCGCGGATCAATCCACGGGAAGTAACCGTCCGTATGGATCACATCGACAAATGGTGCGTCAGTTTTGCGCAATTCTTTGGTGTCCTTCCGTTTCTCAAAGCAGGGACCGGCCGGATCTAGACCTGTGCCCACACAACACACTCTCATTACTGCACTCACGATATCAAACATTTCATTCAAAGTGTAATACCAGTAATCCTGGCGAAGGCCCGACTGTTTCGACCGGCAATTCCTATCACGTGAGCGCCCAAACTGTGTCCGATTCCCCAGATCTCGATACCAACGATAGACAGATTCATTTGCTGCACATACCCGGCCAGCCATACGCCCACCGTCTCGGTGTTGGCGGCCGCCTGTCTGTATCTGACGGGCAGCAGGTGTGCCCCTCGACTCCATCCGACGAGTGCGACGGTCTGATCGCTGTGTCTGAGCAGCTCATCCTTAATGGTGATCATCCAATCCGTGTCGATCTTATTCTCGAAGCCATGCGTTACTATTATTATACGGTTTGTCCCCAAAAGGCCCGCTTTTTTNATAAGACACAAAACTTCGGGAAATAATTGATTGAATCATCAAATCATGTGTTTTTCATATCAATTATTTAATACTAATTTTATAATAACTAAAATAACTATAATTGAAATGCTAGAAATTAATTATATTTAATTGTGACAAACAAGTATATTATACTCACATTAAATATCTATTTGTTATGATATCATATGATATGTTTAGTTAATTATGATAAAAATCAAAAAAGTAAACATTAAATGAAATGATAATAATTGAAAACACAATGAATGGTGTAATGAATGATTGGATTTTGTAAGCATTCAATGGACACTGTAATGAAGTGTTTGTTATTATGAGTATTAAAACACTAATTAATTGTAAAATAAATATCAATTAAAACGTAAAAACCACAAACTTGTGACAAAAAAGTGTAAAAACTTTTGTTTTGATAATAAAAACACGTAAATTGTAACTAATAGATGGCACACACACTAGTTTGCATGTAAAACATACAGCTATTGTATATTTAACTTCTTACGTTTTCAATTAGAATTTCCAATTTACCTTGTTTATTCAAGTGTTATTATTGAATTTTATTTTATTGCAACTTCTGAAAAAACATACTTGAATAAAATATTACAATTATATCATTATGATACATATTAGTAACATGTATTAGGTTAGTTGAGCTTTAATTAATCTAATATGGATCATACAAAAGTTTATATAAGTTAATAATTAGAATATCTTAAAATAATTAAATCCGAGTTAAACTAATATGAACAGAGTACTTTAATAAATTGATTTAAAGATTTTTTAAATTCCATAATAACAATCAAAATACAATAGTTAAAAATAATATTCAATTATTTTTGCAAATGAATAGAAAATAAGGCTTTTATAAATAAGATTGGCAAATGAATTGTTAACTTTATATTAAAATTGTATATATTGTGCGATAAAGTGATTGATTTGAGTTTCAAATAATTTCATACTATTATCTTCACTGTAATCGTCTCTAATAGTCTTGAAATAAAGGTTCAAATGCTCTAAATGGACAAACTCTTGATTAATACCACAACAAGATCTGTAGTGATATAACAACACTTCACTATCACTTAACTCTTTGCTCAGAAATCCTGTTTTGCTTTTATAGACGCTATGAATCCAGACATCTATGACAGTGTTTGGCCTCAATATGATTATCTTAGATCTGTCTCCAGACCTCCAGAAGTAGTCCTGAATCTTATTGTGACTGAAAATACGGGGGAAGTGATGCTGGCTTTGAAATTCATTGCAAAAGAATCTGTTGTTAATAACCAGCGATGAAACGGATTTGTTTCGGATCTCCCTTTCAATCATTGACTGAACGCTAGAATTGTGTGGATTCTGAACGACAATGAACTCATCCAGGTCCACCAGAATAACCGGTGAATTCGAGTGTCTCAGCAAACAATCTGTAAGAATATTCATGTCATCAAATTTCGTTCAAATTTATGTTCAAATCTAGTATTTTTAGTTCAATTTATACTCATTTTGTAAAACCGGTAGAATTTCCACTATTTGTTATGTATTTGTAATAATTTCTATAATAAATAAATAAATAAATTTATAAATTAAATGTTACCATTAATGGCTGCCATTTGACCGAAAGCGTGGATCAATTGCGGATCAAACGTCAGCCTAAACGGTATAATTTGAGTAAAATTAAGACTAGATATGAATTGCTTTAAGTAGTGATCGATATCGTAGTCATAAAAGACGAATCGATTGATTCCGTTGACCACATAATAGGCTAAGAATTCAATGAGAGATGACATGAGATGTCGGGACTGATAGACGGGACGAATACAGACAACGGTTCGCAAGTCATTGAAGTCTTGAGAATAGGAGTGACTTCTCATCACTTTAACCGTCGGCTCATAGGATGGCTTTAAAGGCAAACGGATTTTGACGAAATTAATCTTTGAGTGGTATTTAAGTGGAAGAATGCAACGGATCTCAGAGGCGGCCAACCTCTTGGTTCCCAAATAGTTTCCAACCAATACTCTAATCGTTGCGTTAATACTAAACACAACTAAACTATCTTTAAATCTCATGAAATGGCACTCAATTTGAGGTCTAAACTGTTGGTCAATGATTGAAGTGATTCTTACAATGGATTCTTCGGTAAGAAATGC